CAGAAAACCATTAAGTCTTCTGAAAGCTAGCTCATCTTGACTGCCTTGATTAAAGGCAACATAGATCACCATTATGATGTAGAAAGTTCTAGATTCGTTCAATACTTATGCCTGGTATTGCTGTTGGGTTAAGTTGGATTAGTGAGGGTAGGGTAAGTCATGTCTTTCCTTGCCTGTTATTGTACCAAGTCACTATTGTATGTGTAGACATTATTTTTGTAGTTAAAAGTCCTTACTGAATATGAAACAGTAAATTTGACTGGTATTTTCAGATCTGACAGGATAAACATTATAACCTTCTACCGGTAGAGATGATTGACAATGCATTACAGTTAAATTTTTATACAAGTTTAGGAGTTCATAGTCCTTGCAATTTTATATGAAATCTTACAGAACAATCTGTCATTCCACTCTCCAAGGGTATTTTTGAGTGTAACTTCTTGTACATAGTGTTGTTTGTATATGGAGGTCATAAAAAGTAGTATCATCTGTTGTATTTTTTTTTGCCCTCTTACTGGTTTTTAAAGTAATGAGACAATTACATAGGAGAAAACCATAATTCAGTGTATTAATTTATGTATTTTTTGTAACCCAATAATGATGGAGGCCCCCAGTGCAACAGGGAACAATGCATCAGGGTGAATGGAGGGTCAGCTGCTCAAAGGAAATATTACCTTACCCTCTATGTTCTTGGCATAAGAAGTGACTAGACTTTTCTCTCTCTACCTACTCCAAAACAGTCCTTTGCTCTGCTCCTCACCCATCTTCTCATGATGTCTCTGCATCTCCCCCAGTATCACTCCCCTCTACTCTGAACCATCCTACCTCTACTACCCCTCTCCCCCAGTCAAATTACTTTACATGTTTGACCACTTCTCCAATGCCTACCCTTCCTCTTTCTCACTTTACCTGTCACACCAGACAACTTAAATGTTCCACTCCATCATTGCCTACCACATCCTCTCCTACACCCTCCTTTTCCTCTGCACCTTGACCATCTATGTCCTCTTCTCCTCAAAAGAGAACCTTTGTTTCTCATACCTCCCCACCCAACTCCCCTTCAGAAACTCTTGAAGACATCCAAAAATTTCTAGACATGACCAAAGAGAACGTTCTGCTTACTCATTCACCCTCCAATACCTCTATTCCTATTTATTCAACATTCAAAGTATTTGCTGATATCCATCCTTCCCCCTACCCCTCTTCCTCCTTATCTTAACTTAATGAAAGACAAGAGTAAGAAGAGAAAATTGTAAACAACACTGACATCTTACACTATCTTTCTCATTGTGCAGAAAATTTTCAATATAGCATCTGCAGTCCCAGAAATATATTTTTTTCCCAGCTGTGCTCATTGTTGTGATGTAGGGGATGACCCCTACTTTGAACCTCAGCCCTTGCCTCAACTAATTTTGCATGGTCCTTTTCCTTCTCTTTCATACAGTCCTGAATGGTATTAGTACTCTGTTTGCTCTTCCCTCTACCCTTTTCACTACCATACTAACCTACAGCACTCTACAACCTTTGACATCTAACATATTTTGTCCTAATCATTAACATTTTTAACCTTTTGGCCACATTTGTTTTGACCATTAGTCATTCTGGGAATTTACAAGCATTGCCTTATAAACCAAAAAACTTCCTTAAATGTAGCTTCAGCCCAAAGCCTCACACTTTCACTATATTTTAAATATGCCACTAATGACCTTAGATGTTGACATGGCAGAAAATTGTCAATAAATAAACAAATATTGTTACACATTTGTGTTCCAGTTCACACTTATTATCACCTTTTTCCATACATGTACCAAATTTAGATGAAACAGCACAAATATATCCTGATCATATAGTAATTTTTAAAGATAACTGTAAACTGTGTTTTGAATTTACCCAATTGTATAGGATACATGCAACCCCCTAAAAATATTTGGAAGACTAAAAAAATCACAAAATATGTTTTTGTGCTATATTTCATTAGACATACTTTTTATACACTAAAATGTGGATAATAAATGGTTAACATTAGGAATATAATAAAATAATGCCCACATTGCCTCTTGCCTGTATTTATCACAGTCCATTATTTTTAGTATTACCCTTTACTCTTTAAGTAACTTGTATATGGAAATCAACAGAGGCATTAGTATGATTTCAGCCAAAAATAGAAATATTTCTATTTGTTACTTTTAAAATAATTCCATGCTAGTAATGACTTTTATAGAGTTTTCAAATACACTGAGTTATTTTAGTTGCTGGAAAACATTGACAAAAATGTAAAAGGGGTATCTTAAAATGCTTTTATCCTCTGGTAAATATCCTGTTATTGTAAAGGACCAGATGTACTACACAAAGATAGAACAAACATGGATTTCTAAGGATATGCCTAAAAATGTTTAGCACACATATATTATATAAAAAAAACAAATGTCCTAAGAAGCACTGATGTAAATAATACAATAAGACACTGACTAGGCAGGATTGAGCAATGGTTAAAACATGC